TTTTATTTTTCAGGGTTTTCTTGCAGCATTATGTAATGCTGCTCAGCATAAAGCCCTGATTTTGTTTCCTAAGGAAGAAATCTTGGCTGTCTTTGGATGTTTGATGTGGGTCTAACTATTGTGGTTCTTATGTAGCTTATCCCAGAAGGGTGCAGCCTGATCTCAGAACTCTTCGTTAGGGACAGAAGGGAGAAGATGTAAGTGGGTCGTGTTGGAAGTGAGGATGTTCATTTAACTTCACATATTAAAGATAGCAGATTTAAACTCTCCCTTGGAAGTCACAATAAAAATGGAAGAAGAATGAAGCTCTGAAGATGCTTTCTCTGAATGACATACAGTGGAGGTCTTTTTACTCTGTAGTATGAGTACTTCGAGTCGTGAAGCCTAAGAGGAAAGCAGAATGCTTTGGAACACATGGATGCTTGGAAAGAAAATGAGTACCGCCTTAAGCATCTTCTTAAAACAAGACAGCTCTCTCTTTGCTTAACAAACTGTTCGCAGACTTTTCTGCAAGGTGTTTCTCTCCTCCCCACATATCCTTTATAATATTGCTGTGATAGTCAACTTCAAAATGAGGAATCCATACAAGGTGAGAATGAGCAAAACTAACTACGGACCAAAATCAATTAAATTCTTGGGAGTCACTAAACAGCCACAAGGAAGGGGAGCAATGCAGTCTCTGCGTAGCCTCGGTGGATCAGCTGAGCTCAGCTTTGCTGTCAGGCGTCCACTTCTGTCTGGAGTCCTGATGGGAGGGGCAAGAGTCTCTTAATCCCATTGTTCAGTGCAGTTTTTCACAAGGGAGGGCCTCTTCTGGAGATGAAGTGTTTTCTACCCTGGGGCTCACCTTTGGCAAATGGTTCTGGCAAAAAATAGGCCTCTCTGAGCAGGCTGCATGTGTGTGTGAGATGCCGCCTGGTGGTTAAAGGAGACCTAACATTAGTGAACAGAAAGGGCCTTTTCTTGGCCTTTCTGGCCCCTTTCTCTCCACCACTGAGTGAAGCAGCAGTAGAAGTTTGATGCTGTCCGGTAGCTGTTGTTTGGGAAAAAGGAAAAGCATTTTTCTTAAAAGCTATGTACTGAACACAAAAACTACTGTCGGGGAAAACCCCACTGATATTACAGTAATTATTCAAGCCAGAGTTTGCCAGCTGACAGTCTACTTGTTTTATCGGCCCACGGAGTAGTCTCCCTGTTCATTTTATTGAAGTATGATTTACATGTGGAGTATATGGCACAAATTTTCAACGTACAGCTTGACAGATGTTTATACTGTAAAATATTTACACATGTATAGCCCCATGTACTCATTACACAAATTAAGATATAGAAGTTTCCGGGATCCCAGAAGCCTCTTGAATCCTGTGTCCTGGGCGTTCCTCCCTCAGAGATAACTGCTGTTCTGAATTCTGCCACCATAGGTTCATAATAGCATAATTAAATCCATAGCCCTAGCCTCCTAATACAAAGAAAAACTTGTAATCACCATTTTAATAGTTTGTCCCCAAAAAGAAACAGTTTCCTCAACGGGAACATTCTGGGTTTGCTGTCTTTTGGAGATGCTCTCTGTCTCCCTGGCAGAAAGTCCTAATATATTTATATTGTGTGTGTGTGTTTTTAAACCGAACTCCACAATAGGAGATATATTCATTTGGCGCACTGATTGTATTGACCCAAGTGTCTCTGCAGGCGGCCACGTCAATTTTCAAAGAAATCCCATTAGTTTTGAGTGTCATCTCAAGAGGTGCCACTGATTATCATGGCAAAGCCGATGAATTCTGATGCAGCATTTCAGAAATTAACATGAATGCGATGCTTCCAGCTACTGCTCTGCCCCCCCGTTCAAATTAAGCTAACCAGCAGCATCAGTCCTAGAGTTAGAATCGCAAGAAAGACTTTCAGCATACAATCTGGCCAGCGCTGCTTCAGGATCTGTAGCGTAATGTAGTCACAGTTGCTGTTCATACAGCACCCCTTTCTGTCCACATGGAACTATTATTCTCTCTGAATATCAAAACGTGTAGTGCATATGTCAAGAAGCAGAGCTAGTTTTGAAATAAAAGAATTGTTATTCTTCCAGAGCTTTCTTATTTCTTTGACTATAGGATAAATGAACAAACAGTCAACAAATACCTGTAGTGAATATGTTATTTCCAGGTGTCTTTGCAAGGGCCTGGAGACAGAAAAGCGGTCCTTCCTCACTGCCCTGGAGCTGAGCCTTGCTGAGCCTTGTCCTGTGGCCGCAAATGGGTGTTTAAAGGGTTCATTTCTTCTTAGAAGAATAAGCAGAGCAGCAATATAGATATTATAATGTAGCCTTTGTCACAAATAACTTTTTTTCTAATGACTAGTCATGCATTTGGGAGGTAGAACAGCGTGAAGAAGAAAATGTAAAATTCCCTAATGAACCAAAGAAAATCCTATTGTAACCCTCCCTCTCGCCCTCCGTCTCCCAGTCCCTCTCTCAGTATCTGTGTGTCTCTATCTCTCTGTCTCTTTCCCCCTCCCTCTCTCTCTCTCCCTCTCTCTGCCCCCACTTCATAGAGTTGGGATGATACCATTTTCTTATATCATTAGAAACTTTTGAAACATGTTTAAATTTTTTTTGTACCTGGAATGGAACTCAAGACCTTGCAACATGTTTAATGTTTTCAATGACATAATTTCTGGAATAAGGATGCAAACTTTGTTAACCGTTCTCTGTTCTAGGGTATTTTTTGCTTGCTCTTTTTAAAGTATCTGTAGATATTTTATGTCTATGTATTTGAAATTAAGTCTTTACTTCCCTGCCATGCTCAATAACCAGAACTTCCAGTGTTAGACAATAATAGCAAAACTGACTGTCCTTGTTTTTCTTGATATTAAAGAAAGCAACTCTAGTGTTAATATTCTGATTTGAGAAGGTTAAAATCATGGTATATCCCCTGAGTGCTAAATTTTATACACCAGCAATAAAGAAACAAACATTACCAAATATCTTTGATGTTATTAAAATAATTAGAATTTTACCAATTTGGCCTATGGATATAATTATTATACTAATAGATTTCCAGATAGTAATACCCCTTGCCTCAGAGTGAATACTATTATATCATGCAGTAGTATACTTTTAATGAACTGTCAAGTTGAATTCTAGGCTGTTGTTTTGGGAATCTTAGCATTACTGTGTAGAGATAACTAGTATGGCAGGGTTAAAAACAGTTAGCGTCATTTTAGTCTATGAATGAGGTTGCTGAAATTGAGGTGGGAGACCTGCTTATATCTATTTTCCATCCTCCTTTTATTTTTGATCCATTATCCTAATTCCTACAATTCTATGACTTCACAGAACACTTTTCTTAACCTCTCTTAGAGCACTCATCACACTATTTCTTATATTAAAATTTTCTCTATATTTGTCCTCTGCTCCTGTGGGAGTGATCCATGTCCTTAATTTAAGAATTCTTGATCTGTCCCTTTTAACCACTAAGTACTGTCCACTTAGTCTCTTCTGTACAATTAGACAGATCCCCTCAAAGTGCTGCAGGAGTAGACGATGCAGATGCACTTAGATCTCCAAGCACTGTGGTCAGCCTGATAGGAGGAGAACAGGAAAGTAAAAGTGATTCCAAAGTTAGGCAGGTGCTGTGTTGCTCTGTGTAGGTGCGGTGGCAGTAATATGTGTCCAGAAGACACAAGTCAGCTTCCAAGGACTTGGGAGTGGACCTGAGCAGAGACCAGAGTGCAGCAGGAGAACCAGCCCCGTGTGTCTGCCCCACGCTGGTTCTGATTATAGACAGCCAGCTGCTTCAAAGAATTTCTCCAAACTCAAGTACCTACTCTTGCCTACTCTTAAAACTAAATACATTCATTATACTCTAATAATTTTCATTTTAAAAAATTCTTTGCATGTTCATTCGAAGGCATTACTTCAAAGTGATGTTTTCCAGTTGTCAGGTCTGTCCAGGGGAAGCCTTATACAATTAAGGGCCCTCCATGGGCCACTCTGTTTGACCTCATGAATATTAAAATTCCTACTGTGAGAGCAATTTATGTGGTTTACACTTAACATTTCTGGGGCTAATCTTCTTATCTTAATGTCGTTGAGTGGTATTCTTCACATTTATTGAAAAACCAAAACAGACTCAAAGATCATGTAAGCATTTTGACAAGTAGTTGACTGGAGAATCATATCCCCCAAAAAACCAAGTGAAAACTAATGATGAGAGTTGGGAGAAAATCAGATGTCATAGCAATTCCACTTCTGGGTATGTCCCCTAAATATATATATATCATATGTATACACTAGATATACTATATATAAAAATAAATATATATACATATATACTAGAAGAGAGATTAGAACACCTATGCTCTTAGCAGCACTATTGGCTTTTGCCAAAAGGCAGAAGCAGCCCAAGTATCCACTGAAGGGTGAATGAGTGAACAGAAAGGTGGTAGATGTGTAGTTCAGTCTCAGAAATGAAGGCAGTTCTAATGCTTGCTGCAAAAAGGTAAATTTTGAGGCTGCTGTGGAAAAGACAGCTATTGTATGATCCCACTCATTTGTAGTACCTAGAGCAGTAAAATGCACTGAAGCAGAAGATAGAGCGATGGTCTCCAGGGACAGAGAGGATGGGGAGGTTTTATTGCCGGGTGCAGAGTTTCATATTTGCAAGATGAAGAGTTCTGAAGATGGGTGATGGTGATGATTATGGAACAATACAAAATATACCCTTAAAAATACTTAAACTGGTAAATTTTGTGTTCTGTGTGTTTTACCACAATTACTTTTAAAGTATACCAGACAGAGTCCACTACTTGAGCTAGAATCACCATGAAAGTCGGACCACCAGGGCAGTATGCAGGTGATGGCTGTTCCCAGGACCTGGTCAGCTTCCAAACGTCCTTCCTGGGTGGGGAGAGCGCTAACTCTGCTTCTGAGCACAAACTAGGACTCCTTTGGGACCAAAGTGAGATGCCATGTTGGGTAATTGCTGTCTTTTTTTTTTTTTTTTTAGGGTGTTAAACACCACGTTATTTGAAAGTTGGGAAATCGTTGGACCTTACCCTTCCTGGTGGGTTTTTAACCTACTTCTCTTGCTAGTGCAAGGGCTGAACTGCTTCTGGTCTTACTTGATTGTAAAAATAGCCTGCAAGGCTGTTTCAAGAGGCAAGGTAAGCTAAAGCTCTGATCACTGTGTCCCCGAAAGTTGGGGGTTTGGTTTCTGTTGTTGTTTTTCTGAGATAAATGTTATTTCAAATTTCATCAAAATAAATATTATTTCTTCAGAATTAAACCAAACCACCTAGAAGCAAAACAAATTATTTTCTTTTCTTTAGTTCATTTTTAAAGTCTTTGCACCAGATGCCCCGTGATCTGCATTTGTAATTTTAGATTTAGCGATGATACATGGCTTGTTGTGTTCTTTCCTCCTCTGTGTCTCCCTTCGTCCTTCTCTTATTACATTTATACTGAACAGAAATGTAACAACCTCATTCTACTTATGTAAAGTGTTGCTTGGAAGCCAACCTGCATTTCAAGTTGAAGAATAAAACATTCATGACTTTTCCAACAAAATCTAGTTAAATCTCTTTGGTTAAAAGTGGACTTGTGTGGCTGATTAGAGTAAAACTTCCTGAGCCTCAGATGCTTTGTGTAAAGCAGTGACTTTTCCAGATTATTCTCTGTGACATTTTCTTACATCGTTGTTTGTTCTCTTCCTCCTGCCACCCTGGAAGGCTGGGAAGTGGAACCCTTTACATGTAAGTTTCTCACGCTCTCTCTTTCCCTGTCACATGCCTTTCCTGGTGGCACTCCAATGCTTTTGTTTCACGCATATTGTTCTGTTTAATCTACTGGCACTGACCAGAACTTTTAGGTCTCCACTAGCAACAAAGATAGGACGAACAGCTTTGTGCTCTTTTGTGAGAATATGTAGTCTGCTAGCTTTGCATGGCCCAACGGAGAAGGAGAAGAATTTCTTGCATTGGTGTTTAACATATTGGCTGAGAGACAGAAATAGACCAAAGGGAAGCCGAAAAAAAGAACTCCAGTTGAGAAGTTGGGGAAAAGATCAGTGCAGTGCAGAATGGAGGCCTGAGCATCAGTGATTTGCCTGACCTGCACAAAGCCACAGGGCAGCACTTAACCACCCTGCTCGCGTGGGTGCAGAGAACCAGCCCCTTCCACAGGGCAGCACCTCCTCACTGTGAAGTGGATCCTCAGTGTCAGCTACTGAATAAATCTAAAATAGATTGGTCAGTTAGTTCCTAGAAGCTGTTTATTTTTCTCTGTGACCTCTTACTCTTTGCAATGAACATATATTTCTATTAAAATCTGTCTTGTCCTCATTTGGATACAAATTAAATCCACATGCGCGGTGCTATCAGTGTGATAGTGACTACGGTTGCATGGATACGGTGGATTGGATTACTTGTGTCTTTATTGCGTTGCTGCTTCCACCGGACATATTATCTTTCCTTCATCTTTATGAAGAGATGATTGTTAATTTCATTCCAGATTTCAGACTTTAGAATTTCTTAACGGCCATTGCTGCTGTCATCTAGGATGATAAGCTTATTCATCTTGTCCATGGGCCATTTTCCTGTGTTATTTAAGATTTTCTAAATTGTGCTTTTTTCTGAAGGTAACATAAGTATAGATTTTTCCAAATGCAATTTAAAATAATCTTACTAGGCATGCAAATGTAAATTAATCAACTGCAAGTTTTCTACTAGCAGCTTAAGTTATGACTAATAGACTTATCGTGTGATGAAGCTTTATCATAATGCTGTTTGCCACCCACGTTTTTTAAGTTGAAATCTCCTAACCATCTAGTCACGTTGATGTACTATGTATCTATGTTTTGGGGGATACGGCCTTATCTGAGTTCAGTCCCGTCTCAAGGGGCACAGGGGTGAGGTTCGTTTGTGTGTTTTCTCCATGCCTCATTGGAATGGAGCAACAGTTCCCGGCTTGTGCTTTCATTTGCCCCACCCACATGAACAAGATGAGAGTCTTGCACAGCAATGGTGGCCTTTGACGCCGGGGGTCCTAGGATTCTCAAGTTGGTATGGGGGTGACGTAGGCAAGTTATGATATGAAAAAGCCCCTGGCTTAGTTTGAAATATCTCCTATCTCCTTAACCCAGGCCTGAGGGCATCACTGGCTGGAAGATCTTAAGGCCTTCTGGGTAAAAGTAACTTAGATTTATAGAGTAAGAGGTTTAAACTATTTTAATTTTAAAAACAATAGAGTATTGCTCAACACAGTGGCACATATCTATAATCCCAACACCCAGAAGGCTGTGGCAGGAGGATCACCACCAGTTCAAAGCCAGCTTGGGTTACCTAGTGAGTTCAAGGCCAGCCTGAATGATGCAGAACGACCCTGTCTCGGAAAAAAAAATCCTAAAAGCAATAGAGTAGTTCCTTAATTTCCCCTAGTTACTTCCTGGTTAGAGTAGGACTTTTTTATCCTTCACGGTAACATACAGATTTGTATCCTGGTACCTTCATCTGTCAGCCTCATTACTTAATGAGACCAAGGGGAGGACTGAAGAAGTTAGTAGAGTGGGGGCCATTGCTGGAGGATCTGATCAGTGGATTTTCCTCGGGAAATAGTTTAAGCTGGACCCCACCCAAGAGATTCTTAAAAGGCCTTCTAATGTCATTCATTCATGAATGATATATAAAATACAAAGTCAAATAGCAACTTTTTTTAATGATCTAAACTAATGAGTATGTCCATTAGTCTGGTTGAGAGCTAACTTTAGGTACTTCTCAAGGAGAATACCATTATTAGAGAATACATTGATCCATTTGTACCCGATTCCTGGAATGTTTTCTAATAGTGTAGCATTCCAATTTGAGGTAAGAGGGGAGTCATGTCTAGTACAGCAATAGCAAAACTATGGCATGGGTATTACTTTTCTTTTGAGACAAAATGTATTAATATATGAGTTGTGTTTTCTAAACTAAAACCTCAGTATTCAGGTTTAATTGCAGTGTTGGCACTTCATGATAAATTAGTGGGTTTGGGGTTGCAGTCTGAGCACTTGTGTCTAACAGGTTTGCCATTGCTGGGACACTAACATGTTTCCAATATCAAAAGATACTTTAGAGAGTTCAACAGTACCAACCCAGGATACCTCAATCCACCTTCTTAGCATGCTATATCTCGATGGTTCCTTAGACGCTGGCTAAATTCACTCTCTTGTGTTCCACAGGTGTCCAAGGATGATAGAAGTGACATTGAGTCTAGCTCAGATGAGGAGGACTCAGAACCTCCAGGGAAGAACCCCCACACCGCAACAACCACCAATGGGACCGGTGGGACCAATGGGTACCTGCTGACCGGTTCTTGCTCCATGGATGATTAATTACTTAAAACTAGAAGTCCTGAACAAAGTGAACTGTTTGTTCCTGGAAGTATTTAATAAGTTGCAAATGCAGTTCCTTTCATAATATTTCAGCACCAGAAACAAAAATTAGGATTATCAAAGCATTTTGAATAGTGCACTGCCATATGTCCTGTCTGTGAATGAAGAAGAAATACCATTCTCTCTATGTAGGCATGCTGTATGTAATTGACACAAGGGAACAGTATTTGCATTTGTACTGTCTTAGAATATTATTTATTTTTTGTATGTTTGTAAATCTGTGGACAAAAGAGGGTTTTCTTGCTCCTTTTACTCCCTGGGTTCATGACAGTGAAGGAGATGTTATATCTGCTTCTGCCTCTTTCTCTTGCTGTAGTCCAGTGTGCCATGCGCATCAGCTTAGTTTGTTGCTTAGCGCAAGCAAAACCCAGTGCGAGGTCCCCACACAGCGCCGATAGGTTTGCTTTCTTTGCATTACTGTGCCCATTTCGAAGCCAGATAATAAGTCTCCGTGATCATCCTTCCAGTGTGAAGCTTAAGCAGGATCAGATAGGTTTTTAAATTGTCACTCATGGTGGTCAAGTAGCAGTTCAAATAATAAAGGGGATGATTATTGGTGGGCTTTTTTTGAATGTTGTATGAAACTGATTTGGAATAGATTTTATTTCTTGTGCACACAACCAAAATTTGTTCAGTGTGTGTGGCAGTTAGTTGGGGATTAACCTGTAGGGTATGGAAATTTTTTATTCTCTGTGTGTGAGATGAGTTCAATGTTCTGACTCTGAAGGAAGATACTTTGCTTAAACTCTTAATTATAAACAAAGAAATCACTCAATATTAGGAATTTGTGCCGTGTTCTGGGAATAATATAAAGAGAACAACTGATTTCAATCAGATTTTGCCTGCCTTATAATTAGTGCAGTCTTCTGTCACATCCTGAAAAAACAAGATAAGTGTATTTTGGGGTGGCAGAGGGAGTCTTTCAAGAGTTAGAACAGATCACCCCAGTGCAAAGCACTTTATTTCAGCAAGCTTTTGAGGAAAAGCTCAGCTAGTATTGGGCTTGATGTTTTTATTTTGCTGAGCAAAATAAAGCCAATGGAACACATACTGGTGTTCCCATTGTTTTTCTCTTTAAGTATAACCCACGGTGACTAGAAACTGGGTAATGTTGCACTCCAAGTCCTTTTTATTTGCTTCTTTCAAAACTTGAATGGTTTCCAGAAATTTTTATTCAATTTTTATTTCCAGAAAAGCAACAAAATTCTACTGGACAATGGCAGTATCATCAGTGAGAAAAATTACTGAAGAATAAAGCCTTCCCCACAGCAGTGTTATGTATGGATAAGAATACCATGTACCTAAGCCAAAGAATGTCTCTTTTCTTCTCACTTCTATTAAGAGAGAATAAAATAGGATTACATGTAGTTATTTTATAAGTCAAAAAGATCATCACCTGAAACAGGAATCCAAAACAAAAACACAGAAATATAAGCATGTGAAACAGGACACAGTGAAGATAACAGAAAAATATTAGAGTGTGTGTAGCCAGCTTGGAGCCATTTACATTTAATTTGACTAAAAAGAAAACTAAAATAAAGCTTTGTGCACACACTTTGCAATCCGCAAGTTAATAGTTAAAAGAATATTTCCAAACAAAAACCTCTTTCACTGTAATATTGTGTTTTCCTCCACCCGCTTCCAAATCAGGTGTTTCTAGTATGGTCTATAGTAATAATTGAAGAGATCGGAAATATGTCTGCTTGTTTATGTAGAAAACAATGCAACTCTTTGTACTGGTGGACCCTTGTATTATTTTACAAAGCAGGCATATGTCTAGGCATACGTCTAGGCATGCAGTTTGTGGATGGCTGAATTTGTGAGACCAGTCATGGAACACCAAAAACCAGTCATCAGAATGTCTGCTCAAATGCAGATGGACAAAAATAACATCACACGTATTGTAGCTGAAATTTTTGAACAGGTAAAAGATGTTATCACCTAAGATATGGGACATATTCCCCTTACTGTAGTGTCTGGGCAAGTCCTCCTGATGGATGAAATGAACTTTAGGACCACCGTGAGTCCCAGCATGGGCCATCTTACCTTTTTGCACAGAAGAATAACTTCAAGATCAGCTTGTAAATTAAAGGTTTTGAAGAGATGCGTGAAATGATAAAATTGATTCTGTCCTTAGCAGAGGCAAATCTGAACAGTCTTTTTCTTTTTTCCTCAGTATAACTTAGAAGGAAGACTGGGAATACTCGGTCCTTCCAGCTGCCAGCATCGATGCCGTGCTCTCTTCAAGTCTATTTCATCTTACATTTTAGGGCAGAGTTCTCTTTTGGCTGCTTAAAATGGGAGTTGGTAGGGTTTTTCTGGTGTAGAATAACCTGTGTCTGTCTACTGCTCTCTGAGAGTAGCCTGAGAAAGGCTGAGAGAGAAAACTGCACAAAGTAGCCTACCATCACCTATGCCAGGCAGTAGTTTTTGGAGGTATATTTTGTAAATTCAGCTGTAGGTTAGTGAGAGTGGTGTTTCTTGTTAATTAGCCTGTGGTGACATTTCCTTCTTCTAGTCACATGCAAACCTTTCCAGGGTACCGAGGGGTATATAGAAAGGACTCTAGAAAAAGTGATATTTTAACCTCCAATGTTATAACTCTTCTAGATCTCTTAGTGAGGGAAAAAGTAGAAAATCAGGTAGAATTGGGCCTTGGGTCAATAAATGATATAAAAGTGTATGATCTATGTGTGGATGTGTATGTCTCTCCAAAAAATGATAAAACCAAAATATAGCAATTCATCTTTGTCCATATTCTTATCATAAAAACACTAGAAGCTTCCCTGATTCTTTGTGCTTGCTCCCCACTGAGCTAAGAGTGGTGGGGCCCTTTTGATGTCTTAGCCACAGAGCTACCTATGGTACAGTCCTGGCCATGAGCACCTGAGGTCTCACAGAAGCTAGATACAGCTCATGTTTCCAAATCAGTCCTGTGGATTTTGACAGTAGAGCAGAAATGATCAGTATTTTGGATTATTCAAGTATTTTTTGGAAAAGTGGAAACAAGTCCCACTGATCCCTAGGCTTGTATTAACATCCCATGCTTATGAGCTTCGGGACAGGTGGCATCCTGAGTTACCATCAGATAAGCCCACAGCATCTGACAAAAATGAGGCAGAAAAGGTAGGCCAGATGTAAGGCAAAATCAGATTATCTTTATTCAAAATGTTAGGTGAACCTCAAAATGGCCAGTTCCGTGGCCACACGTTGCAATCTGAGTACAGTCATGCACTACATAATGATGTTTTGGTCAGTGACAGAACACGTGGAAGATTGTGGTCCTGTAAGATATTGATATGGTCTCGGTGTCTAGTAGGTCAAACCATCTGGGTTTGTGTAAGTCTGCTCTGTGATGTTCATATGTAGTGAAATCACTTAATGGGACATTTCTCAGGATGTGTCCCTGTGGTTATGTAATACATGGCTGTATTTGATAGAAATTGAATTTGAGCAAGCCAAATGCCTTTATTTTAGGTAGAAAGGACCTGGATCTTCCATTTTGTATTAAATCTCATTGTTATTTGGACTAATTAAAATGAGTCTTCCTTTCAGCTTGTCTGAGACCACTAAAGAGTTCTTCAAAGAGAAATTTGTGGACAACCATAATTGTTCCTAGTCCATTCATAATTCTGCATTGATAGTTATTTTTGTCCCTATCTGGAAATATTAAAGCCAAAGTTGCCTGAATATGTGAGTATTTTCCTTAATTTGCAGTGTAAAGACTATACAAATAATTCCAAAGGTATTGAAAGTTTCCATGTATTAGTGCATGTTGGTGTCATTATATCCAGAGAGATTTCAAGAAATCTTTTGGAAATAAAAGGTTAAATGTTTACATTTCATGGGATATTTGAGGTGTTAGCAATCTAATTAGCTTACTTTTTTGTCTTTGGATTTCTTCTTTGTAGACAAATAGGAATAGTGCAGAAATATTTCTAATATGGAAATTAGAAAAAAAATCAAATCAGTGTCAGCCTGAAGATAAAGTGTGATCTCATAGCACTTTTTCACGTGCTGTAGGTTACTTGTATGGAAAAAGAAGGTGCAGGGAACTCTATGTATTGCCCTTGTGTCCAGCACTTAATCCGTGGAAGGAACGATCATGAGCAGTTCATTAAACACAAACTATTCTTGAAAATACAACAAGATTTTTTCTTAAAATACTGCTGTCCTCAGAATCAGTGTAGGTTTCTCTTGGAGAAATGAAATTGTGCCATTTTCAAATAGCCACATAGTAATTATCACTAGCCCACCTGCCGCATCTTAGTTCTTTGTGGTGATTGGCCGAAGGCCCTGTGGTTTTCTTTAGCATGGACAACACCCTCCCACCCCTAGGAGGCGCTCAGTGCATGCGGAGGAGCCCTGTCCACTCTGCTGTTAGAACTGCTCTAATAATTACTCAGAGGTAGTGTGTTTAGTGCTGGTTTTCACGGAGAAAATTGTATTGGAGAACATAAAACTTCTTAAGTATTGAGACCTACAGACACCCAAAGACACTTAGTCTTTTGTAGGTATTCCCAAGTTGAGTTCTTCACGAAGACTGAAAGGAATGCATTACCAAATGGGCGCACACCGAGCCAGAGGAATTTCACAAGTCTCTGCAGTCAGGTGGCATACGGTATCTCCACACAACGGCGCCTTCTCAGGACTGCTGAGGAAGGGACAGGAGGGGCCTGGTACCCTAGGGTCTGTCTTGTTTGATCTCATTCATTCACATTCCTTTCAGTTTTCTAGATTCTTGATAAAAGGAAGCAGACAGGTTGTCATTTTTCTGCTTTGGATTTCTCACTAGCTTTTGCATCAGTCGTGTGCCACACCTCTTCCTCCACCTGGTTCCATTTTTCAGAAAGAAGTTATTGTGCCAGTGTGTGTGTTTCCATATCATGGGTCCGTGCAGGCAAGGCTTGGCTTGCTGTGTTGGTGTATGTTTTGTGGCTAGAATCCAGAAACAACAGCTCTGAGTAAGGTTTCATGCTTGACAAAAAAAAAAGAAAAGTAGATTTCTTTCTTTTTGGGGGGCAGGGGCTATAAAAATCAAAACTGTCATTATAAAACTACACTTTAAAAATTAAGGATTTTTAAAGGTAGCTGCAAAAATAAATAAGTAAATGAAGGTTCTATAACAGGAGCAGTTACGTGATGATTCTAGAACTTCAGCTGAGAGCTTCATTAATTGAAACATGAAAAACACCCTCCAAGTTTGATTTCCCACAGCTCCGTAAGGCCCTTAATTAAGCTCATGATTTTTAGCAATATCTTATGTGCCCGTGTCGTAATCATCTGCTTCCACAACCATTTGTTGGCATGGAAGGGGCTGGTGGCTAGCTTTTGGTTTGATTTTTTTTCAGTTTTCAGTGAGAAATAGGATAAGTGACACCCTTACTTTACTTGTTTTCTTAAAACAATGCAGTGCTTGAGCATCTCTGTCAGAAATAGAATGATGTACTGTTAGCCAATTAGAATTATTTCATGTATTGTTATTGTGTTTTGCCGATTTTATATGAAAATATAATTATTCATTCTTGGTCTCTGGAAGCAATCATTATTATGAGAATCATTTTACTTTGGAAACACTTTCATAATAAAGATAAGTATTAAGAGAGCAGTGTAAGTGTCCTTCACTATAAACTAACCAGCTTGTGTTGGGAAAAACATCACCCCTTCTTGAGTGGAGTTGTATGAGGATTCATGTCATCCCAGGTATTTTTCACAATCCCGTTGGATCAAAATCACTACAGTCATTAAGAAAGCAGTGTTATGTTATCTTATGATATATGAGTGGTGATCAAAATATAGAAAAAATGTTTACATTTTAAAAGTTTATTAAAAGACATCAATCCCCTTCAAAATCCTCCCCCTCCCTTCAAACAAACCTATCCCACTGCTCTTACCACTTTCTGAAGCAGTTCTGGAAATCCTCTTTTGTGAGTGTCTTTATAAGGTGTGATCAAAAATATGGTGAATGCTGCTGCCAGCTGCCATCCGGTGGAAAAGTAGACTTCTAAAAACATGGTGTCTCTTCATCCACCTTATTGACTGAGTTTGGCACTGGGTGGCTTCGGGTTCTTCCTCAAAGGCAAAATGACCATGAGAGGTAAACGTTTTGAGTTGATTCAGGACATCACGGCAAATACACTTAGGAAAGAGGACTTCCAGAACTACTTCAGAAGGTGGCAAGAATGCTGAATAAATATGACTGAGGAGAAGGGGAGCTTCGGCGGTGAGGGTTAATGGCAATGTGTCTCTTACTGTCATTTTTAAAAATTTCAATGTTCACTGTTTTTGATCGTGCTCCATACTGTATAGTATCTCTTTGAAAACTAGGATATAAAAAGTTCAGTGTTTAATTTTATGTGGCACTAAATTCTGAAAAACAATGATTTCTAGAGACACCCCCTTAAATGTATCACACAGTCACTCTGTCGACTTCTCCACATTACAAAGGAGGCATCAAGGGCCAACGAGCCAAGCACAGCCTGAAACTGTTCCCCCTGCGTGCCTGAGTCATTGTCTCCGGGCTTGGGCCCGCGTCCTTGGGCCTCTCCTCCTTTACTCAGCCTCGGCTGAGAGGCTCTGTCTTCCCCAAGCTGCTCTTTTTCTCTTAGTATCTCAAAAGCTATAAAACCAGCACAGAAATTCAACAGACACCTCACCACCACCATCACCAATGTTATAAAAATAAGGTGAAATCTTACAAATTTTGTAATCACTTCCAACAACAATTTAATTTCAGGCATAAATTATTCTAATAAATTGAGCACACCAAAATTTGTCTAAGATACACTCATGTAAATAGAAGAATGTACACCATTTGGGAAGCCATGAACTCTTCCAGGAAACACAAGATAATCTAGCACCGGAGACATCTCTGCAAACTAGCACAGGACAGCTCAGTTCACCCTAGGCCCCTCCATGTTGCTGACGCTGCCACAGCCAACCCAGGCAATGTGATCTCTGCCCCCTAGTTCTGTTTCCACCACCCCTCCACTTGCTTCAACAGGAAGAACGGCAACATTGCCAACAACACGGAAAGGGGGCAGGACAGCAAAGCAGGGGGCTGTGCTCTGGGATCTGCTGGGATGTTGAGGGCCCCTCAGAACCAAGCGTCTTAGGGTCTGGGGATTTAGCTCAGCCGCACAGCACCTGCCTGGCAAGCGCAAGGTTGTGAGTTCAATTCCCAGTACCGGAAAAAACAAAACAAAACAAAAAAAGAACCAAGTGTCTTGCGGCTAGAGCCTGGGACCCATACCATTGATTATCTCCAAAGTGCTAAGGCATGATGAAACGAGCCTTGCATCATTCCTAAATACTGAAATTGTGGAAATTGCACAAAGGTTGTGTTACTGGGAAAAGAAGTCATCATCCAGTGGTTAAGTTGAAGAACTTTATTAGTAAAAGGACTACTTTTGAGGGGTGGACTGGATTGCAAGATCAAACCAGGGAAGGTAAGGCACCCAGAAGTCACCAAGCACAGGAAGCATTGCCAGCCTAGGGACCTAAGCCTTTGCCAACCAAGTTATCTTTGGCTAAGTAAATAATTTCCATTATCTGTTAAATTAAAAATTTGCCTGTTACCAGGTGCCATAGAGGGAGCTGTGTAGAGGAGAGGCCACCCTGTGGGGATGCAAATCTGAATGGGGAGCAAATACCATACCTCTCTCAGCTAGCTTTGTCCTTTAGCAGACCTTGACCAAAAGCTGCTAGTGTGGAGCCCAGGAGATGGACACGGCAGGGTTCAGCATCCCACAGCTTAGAGCAGGGCAAAGAGTAGATGTGGGAGCAGCAAATAGAACAAGCAGTGTGAAGCTGATATTCCAAGAGCCGTCCTAGGGCCTGGTGTGTCACAGGGCACCGTAGCGTTTGCTGCAGAAATGTCGTCCCAGAGAGGAGAGAACTGGCCAGATGTGTGCTGCCCACAGTCAACACTGCCTCTTGTAAAATAAGAGGAAATAAATGAGAAACTGCTCTGTCACCAGCTACTTTGGGACTCAAGGTTTCCCAGAGTGGCATCCAGCTTCTCTCACAGGTGCTGCTCTGGGCCCAGAGACTGAGGGGTTTCGAGGCAGGACTCAGGTAAGGAAGCCACCCGTGGCACCAGGCCCAGGCATCAGGGAGGGAGGGTGCGGTGTGGGGCCCAAGGAAGTGGCTGGAAGCAGGAGGAGAGGAACGAAGGGGGAGAAAGTGGGAGCACGGGGACCTGGAGAGTGAGGGAGACAGAATTCTGACAGAGACGGAGCCAAAACCTCTAAACTGCAGTACTCCTGACCAGGTTTTGAAGTTTTCAATATTTTTAATTTAACAGATAATGGAAATTATTTACTTAGCCAAAGATAACTTGGTTGGCAAAGGCTTAGGTCCCTGGCTGAGTCATTCAGAGAGCCCACCAGGTGCAGGGAGTTGTTACAGACACTGAAACCTAGAATAAGAGAGATAGACGTTCCTGCTCTCATATAAACTAGAAGGGAAGGAAAAAGACAAGAAGAAGCGGCATATCATATATCAGGGAAATGTGGGTTCGAACAACAATGGAGTGTGGCCTGAGATGGATCATGCCTGTAATCGAAGCTACTCGGGAGGCTGAGGTGAAAGGATCATGAGTTCAAAGCCAGCCTGGGCAACAGGGTAAGACCTTGCCTCAATAACAAAAAAAGCCAGAGGTTGGCACTGGGAGTGTAGCCCAGTGATGGAGTGGGTGCTAAGTATGTGTGAGGCCCTGGTTCAACCCCTAGTACCACAAAAAATGAGAAAAAAGAAAATAAAGAAAGAAGGAAGGGAGGAGGAAAGGGAAGGAGGGAGGGAGACAGGGAGTGGAAAGCAGGAAGTGGGGAGGGAGGTGGGGAGGAAGGGAAGGAAAACAACAGCAGTAGGATAGGCCCACACTTTAAGAGTGACCAAAATCCAGAATACTTCAACACCAAATGCTGGTAATGATGTGGGACAATTGGAACTCTAATTCACAGCTAGTGGGAATGCAAAATGGTGCAGCCACTTTGGAACAATTTGGTAGTTTTTTTACAAAATTAGCAGAACGGGGTGGTGTTCACCTATAATTACATCATCTACAAGGTTGAGACAGGAAGATTACTATGAGTTTAAGGACAGGCTGGGCCATGTAGTGAGTTCAAAGCCAGCTTAAACTATGTAGTGATACTCTGTCTCAGGAAACCAATAATAATAAAACTAAACACTGATACAGCAATCGCACTGCTTGGCATCTACTCAAAGGGATTGTAAACATGTCCACACAAAAATATGAATATGGATGTTTATAGCAGCTTAGTCATAACTGCCAAAACTTGGAAGCAAACAAAATGTCTTTCAGTGCTAATCAGCTTTCCATCACTGTGACAAAATACCTGAGAAAAGCAACTTAAAGGAGAGAGGGTTTATTTTGACTCACAGTTTCAGAGGTGTCAGTCCATGGTCACTTGGCTCTATTGCTTCTGGGCCTTTGGTGAGGTAGCATATGAAGGCAGGGAGCATGTGGTGGGGCAGAACTGCTAACTTGATGGATGGACAGGAGACAGAGGGAGAAAGAGAAGACCAGGACAAGATACACCCTTCCAAGTTCCACCCTTGGAGGCTACTTCCTCCCACTAGGCCTCACCACTTAATAGCCCATCCAGCTATGAACCTATCAATGGATGGACCTAGACCAAAACAGTGGGTGAGTGGATAAGTGAACTGTGACCATCCAGATTATTACTCAGTGTTACAAAGAAATGAGCTGTGTAACAGGCCACAAAAAATTATGGAGAAAATTTAAATGCACATTACTAAGTTAAAGAAGCCAATGTGAAAAGCATGTACATTATGTGATTTCAATACGACACCTGGAAAAACCAAAACTATAGAGAGAGCAACAATATTAATGGTTCCCAAAGGATGCAAGGGAGGGAAGAATGAAGAGATGGGACACGGGGTTTTTAGAGCAGTGAAACTACTCTGCATGCTAACCCAATACTGGGTACACAGCTAAACCCATAGAATGCCCAACATGAACAATGAGCCCTAGTGCAAACTATGTCCTTTGGGTGATAACAATGTAATGTAGGTTCATCAACTGTAAAAAATGTGTCACTAATGGAAGATGTCAGTAATGGGGAAGGCAATGTATATGTGTATGGGGGTTGGGAGAATATAGGAAATATCTGTACTCTCTACCCTGTTTTGCTGTGAACCAAAAACTTTAAAAAATAAAGTTTATTAAAGAAGGAAGGAAAGAGGATTCATGTAGGGCCTGCATATCCTGGTAAGAGAGGTGAGCGTTAGGGTAGGAATAATGAGAACTCTTTCAGGGATTTGAGACCGGGAGTAGCATGGTCTGATTGTTGTCATCTTTAGCAATACAAAGAAAATGGGTAAACAATGCCTAGCCTGCTCTTTGCCCACCACCAGGAAAAGCTCTCCAATTCCCAGTGTGTCCGTGATGACTGCAGAGCACCGTGGACAGTGATGGCAAGGCAGGGTGACAGACAGGCAGCCACAGGAAGAGTAAAGACAAAGCATTGCTTAAGATGCAAGCCCCAAGGACAAAGTCAGTCCTTACAGAGAGTGACAGGTGGAAGGTTTTGCTTTATGGATGTGGAGGTGTGGGACA